AATTCCAGGTACACAGTCTATACATCGTAAATTGTAAAAGTGTGGAGGTTCTAGCGGATCATTAGTTTCTATGAACTTTTTTCATTCCATCTCCCGTGAGTTGTTATTAATTTTTGTCCCACACCCCTAGAGATGGCTACCAGCTATCAAGCATAATAATTATTATTGTTGAAATGAAAAAAGGCTTAACCGTAAATTATACAACCTAAACGTTGAATTGCAAACGATTGTCGCGATTATTTAAGACTCTCCTGCATAATTATAAATTGTTTGACGGTGATAATTTTAATTGATGGAGCGTCCTGCAAGCCGCCGCTCATTAGCTGCGATTTGCTTATTTTGTTAACGACTGTCTTGGCAACGTTTAGGATCGAAAATAAAAACATTTAATCGCACATCACTCACGGTAAAATGTAGACATATAGTATTAAATATTTAGATGCGTATAATAACAATGTAACGATTGTCGATTACAGAACAATAATATAATTTCTATACTGGATGCTTTATGAAGAACACGACTTGTAGGCGAGTATATGTACTGTGAAATATAACTATGAAATATATAGAATACCTAAAAACTTAACTTGAAAATAACTTCACAAGCATCAAATCATTAAAGTATTAAGTAGCAAATATATAGGTATTGAATATGCCGAACGCTGTTATTCTTGACATTGGCATACTTACAACTATAAGATATTTCAGTCTTAATTAGGAATTTTGAGACCAATTAAGGGCTAATTTTTGCAAGCCCCTTAACTTAAATTACATACAGTATATTACACTCAGCTTTTTGCTACATCACTTTTAATATCAACTTTTTTTTAAAATAATAAGGTACACATTGCATAAAGATCTTTCTATGAAAACTGTGACAAAAAAAGCTACACGATTCTACAAAAACAAAAAACTTTCATAACCGTTCTCAAACACATCATAGCCCACTCATAAAGAATAACCTCTCCATCCAAACCATACCTGACAACCCCAGGCGTTGGCTAAAAAGGAACTGGTTAGAAAATTAAAAAAATTAATTAATTAATGAAAAATATGAAAAAAATAGGCAACTAAACAACTCCCAATCAAGTGTCGCTAATACATAGTGATTTATAATATGATATGTAGCGTATGTATAATTTGTATAATAATATAAATATTATATATAATTATAATATAATAATATGGGCACCTTACTCTAAATATGCATGTATATTTAATTCTATCATGACATAAAGATACTTGTCCTAAAAATTACCGAGTGTCTATGGTATGTTAATGTCAAATAATAAAAAAAAAACTATTTCACTCTCCTTTTTTTAGTTGAATTTTTTCTTCATCATTTCGGTATTTTCTCTTTTTTTGATAATATTGATAGAAACTTTAATAGACGATAAACGAAGTAAACAATAATATTATGAGAAACACGCCCTAAAAGTAATGAACTGACTAACAATTCCTTATAAGATTTATTATACACAAAACCCATGCATGATACATTGACGGCACATTTCACTTGCCTTTAAGGCTTTAACACTTTTTATCTGTTGATAATGATGATTTATGTTCGTATTACTCGACTTTATCTTAATAGATAATTTTATTGACTAGATGACAATTTAAAATTCTGTTACAAATGGTAAAGGTATTTGTTTGGATTCTTCAAAAATTTTATCAAAGCCAAATTTATCCATAGAGCTCCTAATTATTCCCTGGCTCGTGGTTGCAGTCCACTAGCCGACTGTATAATATTATACATTGTTGTATACTTTAGTCATGTCATGGACTAGTTAACTAATGGATAAAATAAGTAAATATTAAAATAAGAGCTATGCTGGCCCAGCATCCAGATATTGAATTTAAATGTATATAATAATATCAGTACCTACACACATCTAAAGAATTGAATGTAACAATTTACCAGACAAAATGTAAATTAATACTTAAAATAATCTATTTCATCATCCAGATTAATGAATAATTTAATGTAACACAAATTTTACCTATGGTAATAAATAATAATATACAGTCCAAGTATGAGCGTAATTATAGTATAGTATAGTAATTTTGTCAACAGTTATCAACTATATGTTCAAAAAAGGAATTGAACCGATGCGTATATAAGCAATAAAAAGCAATAATTAAAAGCAAAATAAAAAATGTTATTATATTATTTTATTAGAGATGTGATGTGTAGTAGTCTGTCTTCCAATAAGATATCTACTTATATCTATTTTTCGTAACGTCCCGTCCGTCGTATGAAATATTTATTACTCACTTCCACTCGAACGTATTAAAAAAATATTACGAATTAGTTATTATACATTTATTATATTATACTATAAATACATGTTATATTATGTGCATATATATTAAAAGCTACACAGCTATAATTTTTTTTATTTGACGTATACCATAAACCATTTGTATTCCACGTATAATAATAAATATATTTACTGTCGCTCGCAAGGCACTTGGATCGGACGATTTTTATTGGTCGTGTATATTATATATACATATTTTTTTTAATATTTTCTTTTACAATGCCTACCGTTGTGACGTCATGTCGGTTGCAATAAAAACTATAGTCCTATAGCCGGTAATATTTCGACGTATACGTCGGTGTTTTAAATAATCGCCTTAAAAATTAGCATACGTGCGGCATACATTACATAATTGATTACATCTATGCGTTTGTGCAGTAATCCCGTGTAATACACACAATACATATCTATACTGTATTATAATAACATAATGATATGTGTATATAGCGTGTTCGTCGAAAGTTTGGTAATTTAAAACTCAAACCGACGATGGCGCTCTTTATATGTCATAAAACGTAATCTTCTCACGCCGGATGGCAAACGAAAGAATAATATTATAATAATGTGTATCTCGCGGAAAGCAGACCTATCGGTTACACCGATTTTGAAAAAAGAAAAAACGATGTATTCCGTTGAGGTTATATATACCTGCATAGTCGATATAACCCGATAACGGGGGTGGTTATAGTGTCCTATAGCGATATTACTCGTCGGACGGTGGCCTCGAGCGACGGGAGGGCGGTCGAACATCGATCTCTGCCACTATACACAGGTATATAAACACACGCTATTCGCCATGATATTATATTATATGGTTTATCGATTATTATTGTATGGTCGTTATTGCAGTCGATATTGTTTTAAAAGAAAAAAAAAATACTTAAGACTTTGACAGGCTCAATCACCACCGTGTCTTTTCCCGTCCGCGTTTACTCCCTTCTGTGTTTTCTACCCCCGCGGGTCTCTGCGTGTAAAACAAAATGTGTACCCCTCTGCTCGTGTATATAATTTATATAAACTATTAATTTACCGAATTATATATAGCGTCAAATTACGATTTGTGTGTTCTTCGTTGCACGAGAGGTCGACGGCGGACATCGCCACGCCGCACATCGTATTGTATATTATTAGTATAGTCCATGGCCCGCAGCCTATTTTATTGTCCCAAACTGGATTAAAAAAAAAAAAAAAAATCATAAAAGGATGCTGAGACGGGCCTCGAGATTCGATTATCATTATTATCATTATCGTTATTGTACCTATATATATTTTTATGGCCGGTAAGCGTACCTCTATATATATATAATACCGTATATGTGGTATGTGTACATGTATTAATATTATACATGTATACATATATATATATAAAAGAATCGCGGCACTTGCCCTCCGACGAACACATCGTGTTGTAAAGCGTGGAGAATGAAAAAAAATAAAACGCGCTCTTTTTTTTTTTACGACTCCCACCCAACTAGAACGGATAAACTGGTTCGGTGTGTTACACACGCACCGCCACTCCCGTGCGAGAGAATATTAATTTTTTTCCACAGACTTTAATCCGATACACACATCACACGCCGGTGTGGTGATGACGATAATAATAATAATAATAATAATAATAATAATAATAATAATAATACTCGTGACCTCTGTGCGTAGAGGGATTTAACTGATTTAAGACTTGCATTATGCGTTATAGACGATTAATTATTCAAATCTCGACACATTCTCGCAGTGCTTTGCATAATTTAATGTCACTGCCGGCTGAAAGATTTATCTGCCGCATACGGCAAATGAATGTTAATTACCCGGCCAATTTCTTGTGTCTCGTATACTTGCATGCAGTTTGGCGAAGATCGTGGAGACCGACGACGGTGCACGTGACCATCGAAAGTCGTGAGGAGGTATGGTATATGCGCACGCAAATTATAATGTATTTAATTCTTGGAAAATATAGTTTATTATATATTTCTTATAAACGTCAAATTAAGCATAAACAATAATTGCATATTAATCTAAATCGTCTATATAATAATAAAAATAATTAAATAATGATTCAATAACCTATTTATTGCAAAACAATCAAAACAGATTCCGTTAAACTCAAAAGCGGAACCATTTGGAACTCATTATAATATATTATAAATAATAAAAACGTTGCATTCTTTCTATCAATAAAAAAACATAATAATTTATTAAATATTTTAAATACGCAAAAATAATCTTAAACTTAAACAGTCTATAAAATGAAAGTTGTTTACAAAAGTAGGTATCTAAATTCAAAGGTAATAGTAATACATAGACAAATAATAAAATATACAAACGCGTAAAATATAATATTATAATATGATTATTATATGGGTACACACTATACGACTTAAATACTAAAACGATTAAAAACATTTGCCCGTTTGAACCTAAAACTAATGCAGAATGGGGGGATTGTCGAAATAATAAAGTGTATTGAGATCACTAAAACAAAATTATAATATAATATATGCCTATCTACAATTTGTTAACAATTTTATTTAAAATATTTTTGTTTTTCACGTCCTTAACTAAAAATAAAACTTATTTCTCACATAACATATTATACTATATATACATATATATATATAGATATGGTAAAAGAATACATATTATACACTCTGTGTATCCATAATAATTTATATTTGCATAACTAATATATAATAATAATAATAATAATAATAATAAATAAAACCTGGACGGCAATATCGTTTAAAGATTTAAATATTAAATCATACATAAAACTGTCACTGTTCGAGATCTGGTCCCGAGCGTCTGACGTTTGTTTTAAATGCTTTCACTGGTACTGCGAATGATTGACGTGACGTAAACAATGTGCACACTCGACATCTATAACAACTACAGCGTAATCTATAATATTATGTACATCGAATTTCGTCGCACCGACGACCGCGACAGGCGTGTTGGACCGAAGATCGCGTGCGCAACGCGTTAACTCATCAGTTCGTCGATGCTGAACCCTTTGCGCTTAGGCGGAGCAGGCTGTCCGTTGTTCTGATTAGGAGGCGGCTGTTGGGGCGTTGGCGGCGGCACAGCGGCGACAGGCGCGGCGGACGACGGATGGAATAGCGACAGGAACGCGGCCGGCTGCGGCGAGGGCAACGCTTGTGCCGACGGTACCGGCATCACCATTCTCGTCGACCGGTCGTGCAAGTCTCTCCTGACGTTCAACATAGAGTGGTGGTGGTGGTGCTGCTGTTGCTGTTGTTGGACTTGCTGATGGTGGAGTAGTGGAGGCTGTAAGAATAGATGGAGTGGTTGCGGTTGGTGGTGGTTGTGTGATTGCTGTTGTTGTTGGTAACGATTGTGGTGGTGATGATAGCTTGACGATGGACGCATAGTGTACGCAGATGACTCGTCGTGACACTTTGTTTCGTGCACACCGGCTCTGGGTACGGCCACCCGTCGGAATAGGGAAATCTTTCCGACGTCTTCCTCCTCTTCTTCGGCGACATCGGCGGCGGCCACAGTCGCTGTCGTAGAACCCGTGTCGACGGACGACGAAGACGACGTCGGTTCCTGTTTCGCGACAGTGGCGGTGGCTTCGGCGACGCTCGAAGAACAGGTGGAGGTGGAGGCGGCGACAGCAACGACTGACGCCGACGGTTCTGACGCGGCTCCGGTGGCGGCCGCCTCCGCGTCCTCTTCGTCCACGTCCACGTCCTCGTCGTCGTCCATATCCTCGCCGCAGTCTTCGTCGTCCTCGCCACCGCGACCACGGCGGCGGCTCCGCCCGGACGGCGTTTGCAGCATCGAGCACAGTTCGTCCTCATCCTCGTCGTCGTCATCGTCACAGAAGTCTTCGTCGTCTGCAGCCAATCGCGGTGCAACCGCGCCCGCGGGCGACGCTGACGACGAAGATGCCGCACCCCCGCTGCCCAACGTACCGGTGGTGGGCGCGTCGCCGACCGCGTGGGTGAGCGTATGCCGGCGCAGGTCGCAGTTCCGCCGAAACACCTTGTTGCACGAGTAACACTCGTAAGGTTTGTGGTCGGTGTGCGTGAGTAGATGCGTCTTGAGATTGCTGCGCTGGTTGAAGCTGCGCTTGCACACCGGACACTTGTGCGGTGACTCTTCCAAGTGCAGTATCTTGTGCACGGCTAGCGTGCGCGACTGACAGAACCCCTTGCCACATTCCGTGCACTTGAACGGTTTCTCCTTGGAATGGATGTACCTAGAACAACAACAAAATCACGGTCGTGATTAGTTAACCATGTCGTGTATATAACAATGATATAGAGGGCGCATTGCCGGCGCGTGTTACGCGTAAAAAATATTGTGCGCCGAGTCAATTATATATTATATTGTCGTCAGCCATCGACCGCGACGGTTAGTACGAACAGTATTAAAATATAAAGAATATTATGAGAGCCCATTCTTATAATATATAATATACAATCTTCTTCCCCCACGACTGCCCAGCTACGGTGTATACACAAAATACCTAACGAACCGTAACGAAACCCATAGACGGGAGCTGATTCATTGCGCCATCGTATCGCGTTTCGTCTCCGCTAGCGGGGGAGCTATATGCGCCTTATTATTTTCATAGTCGGTCGTAAGAAACTGTACACTGATGATAACATTGCCGAAAACAACGCGTTCCCGCAGCATTCCACAAACACACACACACACAAACATATTATATTAAATATATGTAAACGAATTGTCAGTCGTTGGTTAGTTGGGTGCTCGATTAGAGCCATGTACGTGAACAAATTAGTATAGTCTCGTCCGGTCACGACTTGACGGTCGTGGACCGCGACACGTTTCCGTCGACTATAAGCGTGGAAAGGGTTGTGGGGGGCGGGGGATCGAGGGCGACCACTACAATGGACAGACAATAACAATCACGGAGGAGGCGGGAGCGTCGGTAGCTACGAAGTCGGGGCGGAATAGTGGGTGTAAAAGTAGCTGCGCGCGTAGTCGTAAAGCCACCTGTCCTCTCACCGCCCCCGCATCCAAGACTTGCAGCAGCGCATATGGCAGGTAGTCATCGACGGACGGACGTACACCAGAAGGAACGGTTAACGAAGGAGGGGTAAATCTAGGAAAACGCACGAGCGCATTTTTATCTTCCACCCCCGCACGCGCTAAATTTTCAAGACGTTTGGGTGACTTCGAGCACGGTCGGCGACCGAAAACCCTCAACAACAACCGCGCGTGAAATAATAATAATAATAATATAATATGTAACATAACGTAATGGGTATAATAGGTACGAGAAAATAACGTAGGTAATGAAGTTACGTCGTTATTTTTATCAATATTATTTATTATTATTATATAGTAGTAGGTATATATTGGGTGTCGTACACGCGAGCGCTGCTGCATCAGATATTTTAATGATGGCGAACGTTTCATGGCCACAAAAAATCATTACACATCATACACTGCACAAGCCTTTTCATTCCGAAACATCGCGTCTCGTTGTGTCTCCTCTCGGCCGCACCGCACTCCGCCGCTCTCGGACCATAGGAAATTCAATTTATCTTGTCCGCGCGTAGTGTTGGTATATAATATTATATACGTATACGTTGTTCTTTCAGTATTCCACCGACGTCGTATACGTATATATCTCGTATATTAATATTATATTATATACGCGCGTGTATTGAGTGTGTTCGCGGCGGCGATAATATGTATAGCCACTATAGCCGTGTAATATCGTACACACGCGTATATATATATTATTATATACGTACACCAACCTCATTCTGTCCAACGGAGGCCAGGCCCCAAATGCCACGTTGCCACCTCGCCGTCGCCTCTGGACAGACCGGTTCTGAGCGCGCGCGCCGGGCGGCAACGTAGTCAAGTCTCCGTCTCTCGATCTCTCTCTCGCTCGCTCTCGCTGTCCATAATGCAATAATATAATAATATATTATATTATCCGTTCGTCTCTCCCGCGCAATAGAGGGCCTCCGCTCGGCGTTATTACATATTATTATTATTATTATTATATTGTATAGTGTACCTGTATTGTAGGATACAACAATATATAATGTCTTTATGCGCCAGAGACCGAACGGTGTGCCGGCAAGAAAATATAACATTAATAGGGAATTTGTTTTTTAACCCGTACACGCATACACACACACACACACACACACACACACACACACACACATACACACACATCCCCCCGGTTCGGGGATTATTTTTCGAAAACCCCACGCTGTGCGATTCCCGTTAAATTCGTGTGTACGACGTGTACAATAATAATATATGCGTGGCGTTTATAATATAGAGGTATATTATATTATACGCATAACGAATTACTAAGATATAATAAACACGTATTTTTTCCTCCCTATAATCCGATAGAAGTAAGCGCAGATATACGAGCTTCGGACTTACGGATTAACATAATCGGTCGGTATATATAAATTTGACGTTGTTTATTACTAGTATATATTTTTTTTTTTTTTACTTACGACGCGTTTAAGTCATGCGTTTTCTGTTCGACGTGTCATATTATATATATATATATATAGATAGGTACCTGTCTAGTAGGTTTAGGTTATATCGTCAGCGTTCGCACGGCCGTGCTATGTAAAACATCAGTTCAAAAACGTCAAACAAATATTCTATCACTTTGGGCTAAATGCTTGTACTTATATCGAGTATATTTCAATTAACGCTCTTCGTAGATGTCATGGCGAAAGAGTTTACGAAAAAAATTATCGCACACTGCTCGCAATGGGATCGTCGAAAATCCGAGTGCAGGTATAGGTATAACTCTATTAGATTGTAAAGTGCTTGGCACCGGATGTGGATTTCATTAATAAAAATCACAAAAAAAAAATCAACATAATATTATAGGTAAAAAAACCCGTCATACTACGATATATCATGTTTGCGCGCGAGTATATAAAAATAATATAAAATATATGGAAACCAGTTTGAATTTTATATACCCATTAGAATCCGCTGATTATAATTTATGGAGGTTGAGGTATATATCATTTGAAATAAATTTATCAGTGTGGTATACCTATGCACAATATACGCGTGTTTCTGGTCAAAAAAGTATACCGCCAGTAGGTGCACTCATTATCTATCGGTTCCCGAAAAGTTTGTCTTTCCGTGTTTTTTCACACATCTTTCGTCCGCCGACTTTTTGGAATGCCTTTTAATGATGAACGTGCATGGTGGGTGGAAACGGTCGTGCGGTACGGAAAACCGGTTCTCTCTCTGTCTATATATTATTATTATTATTATTATTATTATTATTATTATACTCTCGGCGAGACTTTACGTTATTCAAAGAAGGCCAGACGGAAAAAAATAAATGTATATAAAAACCATTAGTGAATATAATATATACGTACGCGTATGCACACGCACATAGGTGGTACGCATACGTAATATATGATGGAAACACATTAAAGCGCATTTATAAATAACGCCGATTGTATTTGAACAGCCTAAAAGCGTCGTAAAAAAATAACAAAAATCCTTTACTCTCCGTCCTTCATACTCGGGCAAACAATATTATAATATTATAATATATTGTACCAAACATTGCTATATCATATGCTTGTACGACCTATTCTATGCGCGTGCAGTCGTGATGCTCACTCTTTATGTACAATGCACGCTCTGCCGACGGGCTGTGCGGGGGCTGGTGCAGTGGTCGTCGTGGCCGTGACGAGTCGTCAGGGCACAGCCACACGGGATGATACGATTTACATTGTATTGTAAGGTTTGTGGTTATTTTTTATCTTGTGTAAATGATGGAACACAATATTTATATTAAATAAAAGTACGATTCGTATAGCAGTCATCTAGTCGTATGCCCACACGGCGACGATCTGCGTCGTAAGCTCCCATTCGTATTACGACGTGCTCGTCGACGTCGGTGAAATGACTTCCATACAAGCATTATACCTGACTCTACCATATATTATATTATCGTCACACAGTGTTGATCATTATTAAAAGCGAATACGAACTGTATAACCCGGCTCGAGAAAAAATGAACAAACATAAAATACGGCGCTATATTGGTGTATTTCAATTCACGGACAAATCCGCATAGGTATACCTATCGCTTTGTGAACTAATTTGACCGTAAAAGGCAATTAGTCTGTTGCGGATTGGATATTTGCGCTTTGTACCACCTATATTTATTATACTTCAAACTACTATCAATAAACTTTCCTGAGATCTTCAGGTATTTCTAATTGAATTTCTGTGCGACCAATGACAATCCTATAAATAATCAAAAATGTATTTTATTTTCGTGAGCAGAAACGAAACAAAACTGTGAGTCACACAATAACAATATAATAAAGGGGTTGAAAAAATAAGAGTTAAACTATTCGAGTTTCCATAAGGAATTAAGGAATTTGATATGAATTAAATCGATCTAGAATTTTCTAAGACTAGCTGTAAATAAAATACGATATTCACATTCATATATTACATAGATAATAGATATGTATATTCGACTGAAGTGGTGGTGTTATAAATACAATTTTTTAGTTGCAATTTTGTTTTATAGTAATTTAAATACTCGAAAAATACCACCGTAATAAGTATGTACTATTATATAGGTACTGCTGTATCAACGGGAAATGTTTTTTGTTCAGTTCAAATCGAGAAGGAAATTACGTGGAGTTCAGACGCGTTCCTGCGAAGCACCGGAAACGACAACGAACGTCGGACATGCTCGCGGACTCCTACGCTCGCGGAAGACAGCAGAGACTAGCAAAAAATATTTGTGCACGCGCTCTTCAAATTCATTGTAGACATTAATTTTATGTACGAGAAAAAAAATCACGTGTACTGAACAGCTCGAATCAGGTTTTTAAGATGACCACGACAGTTCCTGTTAAGAAGATATAACAGCTGTAATCATAATATTATGTACTGCAGCGGCTGCATCCGAATTGAGTCCCAGAAAACTCAACAACTTAGCTTTAGCAATTAATTCTCTCCCTTAGTTTTTGACTATAACTGTTCCAGTCAAATGGCAAATAACAAATTATTGTTTATAATGAAGACCTGACATAGTGAATTTTTTTTTTGTAATTCAATTTAAAACAGTAGTTGTATTAATATCATTAGTAGCAAGCTCGATATGTATAAATTTAGATGACCATTCACAAATATTGTTTTTTTATTTTAATTTTAAATTCATTTTGTTCTATATTTGGTAATTTAATA